CTTTCTGAGCTGAAACCATAGGGAAGATGAAACCATTTTTTAGAATTCATAGGGATAGTGTTTATTCTAGGTAGAACAACAAAGAAGTTTAATGGCTCTGAAGCAAGACAGACTAGAGGACCAAGCACGCAGGAGAATTGTAGTGCTTGAGGTCAGAGAGATGGGTAGAGGCAGATCAAATGAGATCACATCTTAAGCTTGTATGTATTAGCATATTTAAAATTAATGTTATGGTTGAGAGTTAATCTGTTGAACTAATCTGCGAATAGAAAAATATCACCTGCAGTATGCTTTACAGCTTCTCATCTTGACCTACGCTCTCAGGGTAAAAGGAATTGAGCCCAACCAACACTATCCATAGTTCATGTCATCCACTGCTTTGGGGGTTCTTGCCTCACTTGCTAGAGTGGGGCAAGTAACACCACACAATTATCATCAGGTTATTGAACATAAAATAATGATGAATTTTCATTGATTTGAGGATTTCAACAAATTCACTACTTGGACTTATAATTTCAAAGTGATTTGTGTATCATAAATTACTTGGATACCAATTCAAACCATTTTATAGTTGGTATTGGATTTTCATGGGTAGTAGTCTGCTACCATTTCCACTGTTACTCTTTCTGTTTGGAGTCTGATTTCAAAATTTTAGCTATGCTCATACTGTTTTATATAAATATCTATAGATACATATTTTTTCATTTATCTATTACAATTTCCATATTGGTACATAGTCTGCTATTTCTGCAAATATTTAATGCAGTGAATTTTCTGTCAGTTTGGTCATGTCTCTATGATAAACATTAGACCAATATCATACATTTTTAAAGGTAAATTTGAAGTTCTATGCTGTGTTCTGAATACACTAAACATTTTGTCATATTTTTATCGATAACTTATAAAAACATTGTTTAAATTCAATACATCATATTTTGTGCTTGATACTTAGAAGAAAACAACAGGCATGTTTGACATTTCATAGTTTTTATTAAAATGGTACACATTTTATGGATAAAAGAATACATATTTTATATAGTATACATATGCAACGGAGACTTACTCAGCTATAAAGAGAAGGAACTGCATGGATGAACCTTAAAAACACTATGTCAACTCAAGTGAGCATGCACAAAAGGGCAAGGGAAGGAAGGACAGCCCGAGGGGCGCGGCGAGCCGGCCCTGGCAGCGCCTCTCCCGGATCCTGAAGCAGGAGGGCCCTCAGGAGGAGGAGGAGGAGACCAAGGCTGGACTTGAACTCTGTGAGTCCCAAGGACAAAGTCTTGGGAAATCAGGCGGTGGGTCGGGCTAGGGGCAAGGAGGTGCTCAGTGCACCAGCTCTGGGTACTGCGGGGACGGTCATGGGACAACTTGACTTGGGGTCCTGCACTGGCCTACCTGACACCACGCACCCCTGTTGCCTAAATTTCACATTTGGAATCCACACTCAATCAAATTTTGCTTCGTGTAACACACACACACACCATTGTGGGTGGAGGGAAACTCATACTTTTCCCACTGGCCAAGATTATTAAAGGAAAGATTAAGCCCTTCTACAAATAAGGAAAGAGTTAGTCTACCCTGTCTCCTATATTCTGACACATGCATGGATTGTTTGATTTTAAATAAGTCACTTAACCTTTCTGTATTTAGGGACTTCCCACCACCCTCCTCCCCCGCAGTTTGGGATGGATAATCTACACTTTGGGAATAAATTTGTAGCATAAACTGGGCACATTGTTGAAGAGTTCTCAAATATTGACAAGGATTGAAGTCCTACCAGAGCAAACCAACGGAGTTGGCTGACTGAAATGACCTCATTTCTAAAGAGCCATCAGGAGACAAGAGTTAGGCTCTCAAACTCACTTCCATCCAGTAGGTTCCAATTTGTAACCCAAGCATGACAGAGTAGATTTCCCTGAGGCTCACGAGCAGACAGCCTCATCTCTTTTTGGCCAATGTGGCTGGTGGATTTGAACCATCCACCTTGTAGTTAGCAGCCCAATGCTTAGCCCACTTCACCACCAGGATGCAATTAGTTCGTTCGTTCATTCATTCATTCTAGAAATAGCTTTAAGGGTTTACTGTTTGCCAGGCACTAAATGTGCAGATGCAGAGAGGACATGGCAGCTCCTAGGAACGTGATTGTGGAGCGCGCCGTACACATGCTAGTGGTGGGGGTGGTGGTAGACAATGAAACAAGTCAGCAAATAAGTGTCTAAAACCATCTGAGGAAGCAGTCAGTGCTGTGAGGGCTATGAAACGGTGATGGGACTGTGAGCAGACGTTAGGTTTGGTGGTTAAGTGAGAGCCGCTACTGACAGGAAGGAAGTCGCGCTAGAAAGTTCAGGAGGAACCGTGTTACAAGCAGCATCAGAGAGGCTGTGATCATGGTACAGGAAGAAAAGACTGACACTGTCCAGGATTTCATCCTGCTGGGCTCCACAATGAATGCTCACGGAAGCAGCACTAAGGGACACCAAAGGACGCATTGCACTGGGTAAATCTGCTGCACGAGACCTCTTCAAAGCGTCGAAAAGCAAGGACGTTACTTTGAGGACTAAGGTGCGCCTGACCCAAGCCATGGTCTTTTCAATGGCCTCATCGGAATGTGGAAGTTGGACATTGAATAAGGAAGCCTGACGAAGAATGGAAGCAGTTGAGCTACGGTGTTGGCTCAGAACAGTGAAGGCCCGTGGACTGCCAGCACCAACAAGGAGATCTGATTTTGAAGAAGTAGGCACTTTGGAGGCAAGGATGGAGAGACCTGGTCTCAAGTACTTAAGTCCTGTTGTCAGGAGAGACCCGTCCCTGTAGAAGGACGTCATGCTTGATAAAGTAGAGGGTCAGGGTAAAAGAGGAAGACCCTTAATGAACTGGATTGGCACGGTGGCTGCAACAATGGGCCCAAACATAACAATTAGGAGGACGGTGCAGGACTGGGTGGTGTTTCATTCTCTTGTATGTAGGGTCGCTATGAGTCCGAACCAACCTGAGGACGCCTGACACCAATAGCAACAGAGAATCCAAACTTGCTTCTGGACGTCAAAATTGCCATTTAGAGGCGAACTTAAAGATAGTAAGTTAAAAGTCATAATTTTCCACCAGGATTTGAATAAAAGCTGAGATGTTATCAAGTCAAGACCGTTCTCTCCTTTGTCCTCTCCCTCCCTCTCCCCCTCTTTTCCTAGAGAGTACAGACAATTATTCTGTGTGGAAAGCCAAATAATAGCAGCTATCATTTATAGAGCGGTTTCTGTGCTTAGGGATGGGAGTGGAACGGGGGCAGTTGGATCTAACAGGGATGAGGAAGGCAAGGAAGTTTGCATGGAAGTGATTTCAAGAATGGGTCATGGAAGCTACACTGGAGAAGGGGTGCACACAGGGTGACTAATAGGACACAGGGGTGACTGATAGGAAAACGTGGGAGGACAACGAGGTTGCAGACTTTCTGGGCCGAGAGAACTAGACAGAGTAGGTGCACTGAAGAGATGAGGGTTAGTTAGATAATAGTTAGATGATGGAATTCTTACCATGAAGATTACAGAAATGGTGCTGTTTTTTAAAAATATTTTTATTGGGAGCGCTTACAGATATTATAACAATCCATAATTCAATTAGATCAAGCATAATTGTACAATTATTGCCACCATCGTTTTCAAATCATTTTCTTCTTGAACTCTTTGATATCAATTCCCCTTTACTCCCTCCCTCCCCTCCCCTCCCCTATTCTTATATTTTTATTAATTATAATAATAATTTTTGGCCATATAATGGCAAGTTTTTATGTTAAGCCATGAGTATGACTTTGAAGTGGGTTGACTGAGATCAGGGGGAGGAAAAAATGATTCGAGGTAAGGGCGTTAGGAAGGTGAAACCAAAGTATTGGCTTTAGCATCTATGAAGATGATGATGTCACAGATTAGGAGTCGATTTCTTAAAACCAAACCATAGATTAGCTTAGCCAGTAAAGAAGGCCTACCCTGAGCATTGTGCTCTCTAAGATCTAGGTCTAAGGCAGCGGTTCTCAACCTTTGGGTCGCGACCCCTTTGGGGTATTTTCAATATTCTTTGCTAGCGCCACAATTCAAATGTAACAATTTTCCTTCAGTCTTCCTTATTCATTGTCCAACTTTCACATGTATTAAAGGCAGTTGAAAACACCATGGATTGGGTCAGGAGCACCTTACTCCTCAAAGAAACAGCGATGCTTTTCGATATTCTTTTTTTCCTTTCTAAAATTATTTTATTGGGGGCTCATACAACTCTTATCACAAGCCATTCATACATCAATTGTGTAAAGCACATTTGTACATTCGTTGCCCTCATCATTCTCAAAACATTTGCTCTCCACTTAAGCCCCTGGCATCAGCTTCTCATTTTACCTCCTCCCTCCCCGCTTCCCCCTCCCTCATGAACCCTTGATAATTTATAAATTATTATTTTTGTCTTATCTTACACTGTCCGACAGCTCCCTTCACCCACTTTTCTGTTGTCTGTCCCCCAGGGAGAAGGTCACATGTAGATCCCTATAATCAGTTCCCCCTTTCCACCCCATCCTCCCCAACCCTCCCAGTATCACCATTCTCATCACTGGTCCTGGAGGGATCATCCGCCCTGGATTCCCTATGTTTCCAGTTCCTATCTGTACCAGTGTTCTTCCTCTAGTCTAGCCGGAGTTGTAAGGTAGAATTGGGATCATGATAGTGGGGGGCGACGGGGAGGAAGCATTTAGGAACTAGAGGAGAGTTGTATATTTCATCATTGCTACACTGCACTCTGACTGGCTCGTTTCCTCTCTGCCACCCTTCCCTTTTTTTTTAGTATATGTGCTGCCGAAGCAAGCGCTCCGCGACCCTTCCATAAGGGGATGTCCAGTTGCCTACAGATGGGCTTTGTGTCCCCACTCCGCATTCCCCCTCATTAACAATGATATGATTTTTTGTTCTTTGATGCCTGAAACCTGATCCCTTTAACACCTCGTGATCACACAGGCTGGTGTGCTTCTTCCATGTGGGCTTTGTTGCTTCTGAACTAGATGGCCACTTGTTTACCTTCAAGCCTTTAAGACCCCAGACACTATATCTTTTGATAGCCGGGCTCCATCAGCTTTCTTCACCACATTTGCTTATGCACCCACTTTTGTCTTCAGCGATTGTGTCGGGAAAGTGAGAATCATGGAATGACAATTTAATAGAACAAAGTATTCTTGCATTGAGGGAGTACTTGCTTTTCAATATTCTAAAGAGGTCTTATGTAGCATTTACATAATCCAATACATCCTCTGACCTCTTGACTGCTGCTCCCATGAGCATTGATCATGGATACAAGGAAGACAAAATCCTTGACAACTTCAACTTTTTATCCATTTGTCATATTACCTATTGGACCTGTTGTGAGGATTTTGGTCTTCTTGACATAGAATCATAATTCTTTCTGAAGGTTGCAAAACTTGATCTTCAAGTTTTCCTCACTTTCAGCAAGCAAGGTTGTGTCATCTGCATGTGGCAGGTTCTTAATAAGCCTTCCTCCAGTCCTGATGACATACTCTTCTTCATATAAACCAGTTTTTCTGATGATTTGTTCAGCATACAGGTAGAATCAATATGGTGAGAGGATATAACTTGGATGCCTATCTTTCCTGTTTGAAACCATGAAGTATTCCCTTGTTGAGTTTGCACAGCTGTCTTTTGATGCATGTCTAAGTCCCTCATGAGCACAATCAGGTGTTCTGGAATTCCCATTCTTCTCAAGTTTATGCATAGTTTGTTATGATCCCCCAGAAGAATACTTCGGCATAGTCAATGAACTACAAGTAAGCATCTTTCTGGAATTCTCTGCTTTGAGCTAAGCTCTATCTGACATCAGCAATGATATCCCTTGTCCCAAGTCCTCTTCTGAATCTGGCCACAACTTCCGGCAGGTCCCTGTCAATGCACTGTTACAGTCATTGTTGGAGAATCATAAGCAAAATCTCCCTTGCATATGATATCAGTGATATTGTCCTATAGTTTGACCATTCTGTTGGGTCATCTTTCTTTGGAATGGGTACTAATATGGATCTCTTCTTGACTGTTGGCCAATTGGCTGTCTTCTAGATGTCTTGGCATAGATGAGTGAGTGCTTACAGTACTTCTTCAGCTTGTTGAAACATTTAGATTGATATTACATCAACTCCTGGAGTCTTGTTTTGGGCTGATGCTTTCACTGCAGCTTGAATGTCTTCCTTCAGCACCGTTGGTTCTTGTCCATATGCTACCTCCTGAAGTGGAATGTGGACTACAGTAGTGCTTTTTGTACAGTGACTGTGTATTATTTCCATCTTCTTTGATGGTTCCTGCAACATTCAATATTTTGCCCATAGAATCATTTCAGCTTGCATCTCCAGGCCTGAATTTTTTCTTGAGGTCTTTTAGTTTAAGACAGCTGAGAGTGTTCTTTCTTTTTTTTCATTTTCTAACTCTAGGTCTGTGCACATTTTATTATGATATTTGACTTTGTCTTCTTGAACTGCCCTTTGACATTTCCTATTTATCTCTTTTGCTTCATCCTTTCTTCCAGCTGCATTAGCTACTCTATGTGTGTATGGATTGGGATAACAGTTGTATGAGCCCCTAATAAAATGTTAAAAAAAAAAAAAGAAAAGGTTTCAGAGTCTCTTCTGACATCCACTTTGATCTTTTCTTTCTGTCCTTTCTGTTTAATGACCTTTTTGATTCTTCATGAATGATGATCTTGATGTCCTCCCAAAGTTTATCAGGTCTTCTGTCATTAGTGTTCAATGCCTCTAGTCTATTCTTGAGAAATTCTCAAAATTTTAGTAGGATAGAATCAAGGTTATATTTTGGCTCTTGTGGACTTGATTTAATGTTCTTCAGCTTCAACCTGAATTTTCATATGAGCAATTGATGGCCTGTTCCACAGTCAGCCTCTGGCCTGGTTGTAGTTGCTGATATTGAGTATGGTCTCTTCCCACAGATGTAGTCATCTGTGTATTCTATTGATCTCCGTGTATTCTATTTGGAGAAGTCCATATATGTTATAGGTAGGCTTATTTTGCCAACATAGCCAATGAACAAATGTGGGATTAATTGAAGGGTGGAGAGATAAATGGCTCAGTGAGCCTCGCCTTTCTGGTCTCTTACTCTTTGATCATCAGACCAGTTCTGTGACTCAATTTGCAAGCTACACTACCTGTGGGACACCTAACCCATGGACTGTGTCGCTGTAACTTGAGGCTCCTTCAAGACCTACTTTGCCACACTATTGGAACTTACATCTCTTGAGCTGGAGACTGTTGGACCCTGTGATCTGGCTGACTATTAGAGACATGCCTTGCTGTTTGCTGCCTGTGGCCGGATAGCCTGAATTTCTCTACAGAGGACTACCCGGCGGCCCTCAAGACTTGAAGGACTTGAAGGACAGTGTCTCACAACAGTCTCACGGGAGTGAGTTGCTCTGAGCCATTTTGTACTGCTTTATAGATTAATGAACTGTTTATTTCTTATGTTATCTATCTAGCTAGCTATATAAATATCTATAAAATTATTAGCGTCCTGGTTTTGTTTCTCTAGAGAACCCTGTCTAGCATAATATATATAGTCACGCTCTGTGTTGTTGAAAATAGGTATTTGCTATGAACAAGTCATTGGTCTTGCAAAATTCTGTCATGTGATCTCCAGCTTCATTTCTATCACCAAGTCCATATTTTGCAACTTCTGTTCCTTCCTCTTTGTTCACAGCTTTTGCATTCTAATCACCAATAATTAGCAATGCACCTTTTTTTGTTTGTTTGTTTGTTTGTTTGGGATCTTGGTTTTTTTCTTCTGCCTTTTTTAATTATTAAATCATTTTATTGGGGGCTTGTACAACTCTTATCACAATCTATACATGTATCCATTGTGTCAAGCACATTTCTACATTTGTTGCCATCATCATTCTCAAAACATTTGCTTTCTACTTGAACCCTTGGTATTAGCTCCTCATTTTTCCCCCTCCCACCCCACTTCCTCATCCCTCATGAACCCCTAATAATTTATACATTATTATTATTTTGTCATATCTTACACTGTCTGACACCTCCTTTCACCCACTTTTCTGTTGTCCATCCCCCAGGGTGGAGGTTATATGTAGATCCTTGGAATTGGTTCCCCCTTTCCACTCCATCCTTCCTCCACCCTCCTGGTATAGCCACTCTCACCACTGGTCCTGAAGGGATCATCTGTCCTGAATTCCCTGTGTTTCCGGTTCATATCTGTACCAGTGTACATCCTCTGGTCTAGCCAGATTTGTAAAGTAGAATTGGGATTATGATAGTGGCAGGGGGTGGGGCAGGGGAGAAAGCATTTAGGAACTAGAGGAAAGTTGTATGTCTCATTGTTGCTACCCTGCACCCTGACTGGCTCATCTCCTTCCCACGACTCTTCTGTAAAGGGATGTCCAGTTGCCTACATATGGGTCTTGGGTCCCCAATCTGCACTCCTCCTCATTCACAATGATTTGATTTTGTGTTCTTTGATGCCTGATACCTGATCCCTTTGACACGTGATCACACAGGTTGGTGTGCTTCTTGCATATGGGCTTTGTTGCTTCTGAGCTAGATGGCTGCTTATTTACCTTCAAGCCTTTAAGACCCCAGACGCTATATCTTTTGATAGCCGAGCACCATCAGCTTTCTTCACCACATTTGCTTAGGCACTCATTTGTCTTCAGCGATCATGTCAGGAAGGTGAGCACACAATATGACTTTTATTGTTTAATACCTGGTAACTGATCCCTTCAGCACCTTGTGATCACACAGGCTGGTGTGCTTCTTCCATGTGGGCTTCGTTGCTTCTTTTTTGGGGGGAGGGGAGCTTTGTTGCTTCTGAACTAGATGGCTGCTTGTTAACCTTCAGGTCTTTAAGACCCCAGACTTAGCAATGCGTCTTGATTGCACTTTTGATCAATGTCTTCCTAAGTCATTAGTAGAAAGCTTCAATTTCTTCATCACTAGCTTTTTGTGATTGTTGCATAAATTTGAATAAAAGTTGTATTGATTGGATTTCCCTGAAGGCTGACTGATATAATCCTATCACAGATGGCATTGTACTTCAAGAGTGATTTTGTGTGGGTGAGGGGAGACATTGGTCAGTGTAAGACATGAAAAAAATAATAATAATTTATAAATTATCAAGGGTTTGTGAGGAAGGGAGGGTGGGAGAGGGGGAAATGATACCAAGTGTTCAAGTGGAAAGAAAATGTTCTGAAAATGATGATGGCAACAAATGTACATATGGATGGATGATGGATTGTGATAAGAGCTGTATGAGCCCCCAATAAACTATTTTAAAAATAGAGTGATTTTGCAACATCCTTTTTGACAATGGATGCCATGCCATTCCTCCCGATTGTGTTATTTTGGCATAGTAAACCATAGGATTTTCTGATTCAACATGTCCAACACTAGTCCATATCTGCTACCGATGCCTAGGATATCAATCTTTATGCATTCCATTTAATTTTTGATGACTTCCAATTTTCCTGGAGTTGTACTTCATGCTTTCCAATTTCTGATCCTCAGCCAATTTTTGCAGCTGTTTCTTTTTACTTTGTGTCCTGCCCCACCAGCAAGTGAAGATCCCGAAGGCGCCACTCCCGCAGACTTTGCTTCACTCATGCAACCAGGTCAACACCACTGTCAATCATTTTGAGTTCCCTCCGGTCCGAGGGGCCCAGCCTCTGGCGCAATCTCAGACAGTGTTCTGCTTCTATTCATTAGGCCTTCAGTATCTGACAATGTGTTTGAGCTATGCATAAGGTTTTCAGCGACTCTTTCCTACAAGAGGGCAGCCAATTCCTTCTTTGTGCTTTGTTTAAAAACTCCACTGAAACCTGTTCACTTTGGGTGACGCTGCTGGCATTTGAAATGCCAGTGACGTAACTTTCAGCATCACAGCAACAGCACCACAAACTGACAGACAAGTGGTGGAATCTACCTGGCTTAGTTCTTTCTGATTCTACCTAGGCTTAGTTCTGACCTTATTCCTAGTGTTGGGGTGTCCCCTGAGAGTCCTTTTGCTCCCTCCCCTACATAATTAAAGAAAACCTTCTAAATCCTGGTTCTTCTCTAGGCTAGCTAATAAATTCTGCTCTTTGCCATGTATGTTTATGTGAGAAATTATGTTTGTGTGTTGTGGAAGGCTGGCAGTTCAAACCTATCAGGAGAAAGATGAGGCTGTCTGCTCAGTAAAGATTTACAGTCTCAGAACCTCTATATAGGGTTCCGATGGGTTGAAACTAAGTCAACAGCAGTGGGTTTTGGTGCTTACTGTATGTGTATGGTTGATTGAATTGTGTCCTTCCCCAAATTTGTGTTGAAGCCGTAACCACCAGTTCCTGTGACTAAGACTTTGTTTGGAAATAGGCTCTGGGAAGGGGTAATCTGTTAAAGAACATGTTAAATAGCATGACATCATACTGGAGTAGACAAGGTCGTAGAAGCAACAGAGAAATGTGTGGGTCTATCAGAAGCCAGAGGAGACAAGGACAGGTGTCCCCTTAACATAGACAGAGATCATGGCTCTGCCAACACCTGGATCCGGACGTTTAGCCTCCAACACTATGAGACAATCGATTTCGAAGTCCCCCTCCCCCACCAGTCTGTGGTATTTCGTCATGGCAGCATTCAGGGGTGAATGCAGCGGGAAACTGCCTTAATCTCCATCAGTAGAAATGAGAATAAGACGTGTTCTCCCCTTTTAGCTTTTGTGTGAATCGTAAGGTTTTGTTCCTGTAGGTCTGGCATCTGCCCAGCGTGCTTCAGATAATTTTATCTTGGTAAACTTGTGTGAAGCTTATGGGCTCCGCCCTGTTTAATCTCGCACGATACCTCTTAAAAACAATGTGCCTGGGAAGTCCACGGCTGCCCTCTGACCTCCTGGAGTCAAAGTCTACATGACCGACTTCAGGGTGGTCCTTGTACGGACTTCTGAACATTCAGTACTAAGATAATTTGGAATTTTGATACCACGGTTTTATAAATGATGGAAGCAAACTCACCATCTGTCCTCAGTGCTGAAGGTGGAAACCCAAGGCTGTTGTTGCAAGACTTGCAAATTCCAGAGGGTGACCATGGGCGCTTCGCTGGCTCTCTGCCCCTTCAGTGCCTTCACTCATGGTTGCTTGCTTGCTTCCTTTCAGTGCTGCCAAACGAGAGAAGCTTTCAGAATGCTGCTCAGAGCAATACTCTGGACCTCATGGAGAAGCTTTACGAAAAGAAGGTTAATATTAATGCTGCCAACAATGTGAGTAGGAGCTGAAAATATGACCAGCGGTTTCTTCAAGTGGTGGCTCGGGCTTATATCATTCAGATGGAAAAATAAAAATAAAAATGATCGTGCTAGGTGAGATGAGGGAAGTCTGTCTCCTTTAGGGGTGCTGAAAGGTAAGCTCCAGCAATGGGCTGGGCTTTGGGTGCTCTCGTTGATCTTATCACAGGGAACGTGCACAACATTCTTGATGCACATCTGTGCAAAGTGTGGGTGGGCAGTCACGCGGACCGACGGCCAGGCTTATGGATCTGGACTTGGTCCTGGATGGTTGCCTGGGTCCCTTTGGTCTCACACACTCTGGAAAGGCAGAGCTATCTTTTGCCACACGCTCTAGCTGGTTTTCTCTCCTGGGATGCCCTCTGTGGTTGGGTTGTTTTCCAAATTGAAATGCAAAGGAAAACACACATTTTCATTTTCATTCAACTGCTTTTTAAAATAATAGGCTGTTCCTGAAAGCTGTTCTTTCCCTGCTGGGTCTTCAGCAGCGACTGTTGAGGGCGAGGCAGGGAGGTGGTGGTGGTGGCCCATCCATCATCAGAAATATGGCTTTCGTGCTGTTTGGTTTTCCTGCCAGCACCTCTGTTGTTGCTGCGCGCCATCAACTCCATTCCGACTCCCAGCAAACCCTGTGGGTTAGAGGAGACCTGCCTGGGAGGACTTCCGAGGCTGAGCTATGTATGGAGCAGCTTGTCAGGCCTTCTCCCCAGCAGAACCACTGGTGGGTTTGAACTACCAACTATCCAGCTAGCAGCCAAGGGCTCAACCACTGCACCAGTAGGGCTCCTGGCAGCCCCTCCAGGCAGAGGTGATGACAATGAACAGTTCGGAGCTGGGGCAATTGCTTTGGATGCTGTGTGGAAGGAATCAAGGTGAGGATGGCAGAGGTGGATACTGTGGTGCTAGCTAAATAAAGCAGCAGCTCAGGGCCCCTCACTTGCATAGGGGCTTTTCCAGAAGCAATGTGTTCCCATGGTTACGTGAGTTTGCAAGATTTGCTCAAGTAAGGGATTTTTAACTGCAATCAGTTAAGCCTGCTGTTGTTGGCTTTAAAGGTTTCCCAAACTGCCTAAACTCCAGGTTTCACAAAACCTAGCTCTGTCTCAGGCATTGGAATGAAAGAAACCAAAGTGGTGGCGTCAGAGTCCCAGGCAGCGTCTGCAACGGAAGATGCTTCACTCTGGTCTGTGTGTCTGCAAGAGTGTCTGTCCTTGTATATGTATATTCCGTACATGTGTGTGTCTGGTGTGTTATGAATCTCTGTAGTATTCACACTCCACAGACGTTCTAGAAGGATAGCATAGTGGGAAAATTTTGCTGCAAAACAGTTTCAAGAACAGCCGCAAAAGGGGAGGGGGAGGATAAAGAGAAGGAAGGAAGAGAAAATAAGCAAGGATAATAGCTATGTGTTGAGAGCAGGTTGACAAGAGAAACAAATCTAGGGCATTCATACATGTGTAAATGAGAGTTTTATATCAAAGAGCAATTGTATATTGAGAAAACATCCAAGCCCAGTCCAGATCAAGTCTGTAAGTCTGATATTAGTCCATATGCCCAATACCAGTCCATAATACCCTCTTCAGGCTCACGTTGCCACTTGCAATTATGCTGAATGCAGTAAAATCACAGGCTGGTGTATGAAAACGCTTTTGGATCCAATGGCAGTGGAAGCGTCAAAGGGCTGTCTCCACAGGTCTCCACCGCATGGCTCGCTCAGGTCTCAGCATAGCTCCACGTGGCTTGTCCACAGGAAGACGAAGGCAGAGAGAGAGTGTGTGGCCCACCTCCAGGGAGAAAGAGAGGAAGTTCCCACAATCCCCATGAGAAGACCACACCCACACAGAGGCATCATTGGCTGTGACCTGATTGACAGGCTAGACTCCACCCCTTCCCTCATAATACCCTCAGGTTGACCCCAGATTATGTAACTACCACAAGCTACATATTTAAAAATATATTTATGGGTACACATCTCTACAGATTATTGTGGCCATGGAAAAATAGCTATTAAATAAGAGGAGTGAAGCATTAATCATTTTTCCAAGTAGCAGGAACTAGATTTTCCAAGTTACTATTATTATAATCTTTAAAGATAGTTTTCACATGCAACTTTCTGGTATGCTTTCATTTTAAAGCTCTTGGAAAGATTGTACAACCAAGACACTAACAGTCACTATGACAAATGATTATAAATTCTTTAGCAATTGTATTATATTTTCAGTGACATCTGTTTTATCTTGTTGAAAGCAAGTTGTTGACATGGTGACAAGTATCTTAAAATCTGTGATGAAAGAGATGGGGGGAAATGTGAGTAGTTTTATTGAAAGCGTAGGTAGAAGACTATCTAAACCCAGGCTTGATATCCAACAACAGACGGAGTAAAGAGCATCCAGGCTTTGTCAAACTTACCACTAGTTTCACTAGTAAGGAATCATATATTTGAGAAACGATGTACAAATGCGCTTTACACAATTAATGTGTGTATGGATTGGGATAACAGTTGTATGAGCCCCTAATAAAATGTTAAAAAAAAAAAAAGGTTTACACTTTCAGAGAGAAAAAAAAAGGAATCATATATTTAATTTAAACAATTCCCATGTTTTTGTGATGACTTATTTATGAAAATATAGAATAACAAATCTGTGTCCAAGTGCCTTCTTTAGGAGAAAAAGCCATCTAGGGTAAAGGAACTAGGAACATGTGTATTACAGACAAGGCTTCCATGGTCACAAATGCATCCAATGGTTTCTGAGCGGCCCTGGAGTACTATTGTAGTTTCCTTGAACTAAACGATAGTGCTCTGTAGCTTTCTCTCTGTGTCTGTAGATCTGTCTTCCCCTCTTTTTTTTCTTTCAAAAGTAACATATTTGTCCATTTTAACTGTACCTACAGTCCAAAAGCTTATAGAAGAAAGTCGTGAATAAACATCTAGGAAAATGATTGCTCTGTCTTGTTTTTGTGCATGTTGTTGTCTCCCCAGGTCTGTCTGGATAGGACAGGCTGGATGAACAATCTGGAGGAGAAAACAATGGGACTGACAATTCCGGGGGGACATGGGAGAGGGGGAGGTGG